TATGTACTTATGTATATAAACATATGCCGTCTTATGTGAGGAGCGCGAGGGGTATGCACATGCGGTCCGTTCATGAAATTATGCCGGCGCTAGCACTTTCTGCGAGTGGCCTAAGCCATAGCGATTAGTTCATATTTCGGTAACTTGGGGTGTATGACCGGGACCATGAAGTTTATAAACACTGCAACAAAGTGTTACAGTGCGTACCCGGTACTCGGTACAGTGGGTATTCAATATTATTGCATACTATTATTATTATTATTATTATTACATCTCCCTCCTTTTGAAAAATAACGTAATATTATGAAGTTATTTTAATAATAATATTTAGTTACTAAAAGTTTGTGTGTGTAACTATGCATGGCCATACTAAGTACAATTTATGTAATAAAGATTTGGAATCTATCTTTATGAACTGTTATATTTTGGTAAATCACATATTAACTACATATTCATTGCCATTTTCTGATTTTGGTAGTGGACCAACAGTGTCCACTATTACTCTGTCGAAAGCGTTCATTGGTGTGTCGGTTATTGTTAAAGGAGTCTTTGTATGCGATGACTTTGACTTCTGACATTTATGACATTTTCTTAGCTACATTGTTGTCTTTTCCCTTTAAATATTCCATAGTGAAATTATATTCTTCCAGCTCAAGTCGCATGCGCGTTAGCATAGAGCTTAGATTAATCATTGAAAACAGGTAAGTTAAAGGTCTGTGATGAGTCTTGACAGTGAAATGTCCACCATAAACATATGGTCTGAAATAAGTTATTGCCCAATGAATTGCTGTCAATTCTTGTTCTGCTGTACTTTTATTACTTTCTTCCTTAGTACACGATCTTGATGCATAAGCAACTGGAAATTAAAGTCCATCATGGTTTGAGTTAAAACCTTATTATGCAAAACTCTGCTGAAATCTGGGTAATAATAAAAAATAATCTGTAATCTGTAATAAATTCGGATTTATTAATGCCGATTTAAGATGTTCGAAGGCATTCTGGCAATCAATTGTCCATTCGAATTTAACATCTTTTTTACATAATCTTGTTATGTGACGAGAATATTCGGCGAAATTTTGTATGAAACGTCCATAATAATTGCAAAATGCAACGAATCTTCTAGCGCTGTCCGCATCATGAGGGACTGGGTAATTCTTGATGACGTCGTATTTTTTGTCATCTGGCAAGATTCCTTTATCAGTGCATTTATGTCCCAGAAAAGTGACTTCATGCATGAAAAATGAGCATTTTTCAGGATGTAACTTAAGGTTGTATTCCCTACATTTCTCAAAACATCAGTTAAGTTTTTATAACTATTAAGTCATCCATATAAAGGAATGCTTGTGAAGGTTCTAATCCAGAGAATGCAATCATCCTCTGAAATGAATTAGGCGCTATTTTTAAACCGAAAGGTAATCGTGTTAAACGATAAGAGAAAATGAAGTTATATCTCGTGAACTTTTTTTGATGAAAGCCAAACATTAAGTCCAGACATGAGAAGTATTTCGCTCTTCTTAGTTGGTCCAAAATATCATCTATTCTAGGTAGCGGGAATTTATCCGACAACAATTTTTTATTAATCTGACGATAGTCAATTACTAATCGCCATTTTTTCGTATCAGATCCGGGGAGTGATTTCTTCGGAACTAATAACAGTGGGCTATTATATGCTGATACAGACGCTCTACTATTTTATTGTCTATTAGTTTTTGTACCTGTATGTTAATTTCATCCTTTTGACTATGTGGACTTCTATAATTTTTGCTTGTATAAATTGTTTGTAGTTATTGATTCGGTTTCGAGTCCGAATATATCACTGTACTGTACATAAATCAGTTAATTTTTGAACTGAGGTGGAAAATTTTTGGATAATTGAGATAAGACAGTTTCTTCTCTATTTTCTGGATTGTTTTGAACTATGTCATAGTTCGAAAGTGGTTCATATTTTAAACTGTGAATATTTACTATTTGGTCAGTACTGGTTGTATTCAGTAATCGGACAAATGCATTTTTGGTTGTTGCGACTGGGTTCGCAACATAAATGTAATGTTGAATTTCCCGATTAGGTATTAGTATACTTTCAATTAATTAAGAATACAAGTTTTCTGTTGGTTTCTGTATTCGTAAAGTTTACAAATATATTAAGACTAAGATTGATGGTGTGAACATTGTGGTTTACTGTTGAGTATCTGAAGGGTGAGAGTTTCCCGAATTATTCTGGGCAATTCTCACAGTTGTTTGTGCTCGACCTTTATTGCCTCTACTTTTTCTAACGCATCCACAAAACTTGTTAGATTTTCCGCTTTACCATCAAAAACTGGTATCAGCTTGGATGCTGTATTTATGAAATCAATATTGGATTGTGCCATTGTTGCTTGTCTCGCTAGGATTATCAGAATCTGTGTAACTATCTCTATCTGTGTATACCGCTGGAATAGTAAGATTATTTAAATCTTCCTCTTCTATTTTGGGGTATACCTCTTATATTTTAATTCGTTTGTTTTAGCTGATTCTCGGTCAGGTGCAGTGTCTTCTGCTATGGGAGTGTTTAGAACATTCGGTATTACTATTTCTAAACTGAATTTTTGTTTAACCGATATTAAATTAGATCGTAGTCGTATCAGAAGTTTAGATACCTGAGACAATTGATCTTGATTCAATCTCTCCTGTGACTATGTATTAGTATTCGCGCTTCGTTAAAGTTCTCTACTAATATCTCAACATGTTTTCTAACTGTGTTCTTCTGGATTGGTTTATTCTGGGTTAGTGACTTATACGATTTGTCAAAATTTGCTTTGATATTATTTATTTCTTTATACAATTCATTCCAATCCGATATATCATGGGCATTTAGCCATTTTTTTTAAATTATATCTGTATAAAATTATTTTTATTTTTATTTTTATTTATTACATATAAGTTAACACCGGCCAAGCGCCCCCTTCCCTTCACCGCCTCTCGACCAGAATACCAGACACCGCGACTTCCCTCATCACCCCACTCAGCCAACCCGACGACCAGCAGAGACACAGCAGCGGTAGTGCAGACACCAAACGTCAGCGGCGTCAGAGCGACAGCGCAGCGACAGAACGTCAATGGCAGAATTGCCTCGGCAGAATTGCAACGGCAGTAGCGTGAGAATGGAAGAGCACTGACCGATCGCTAGCTGTCTCAGCCATAGCTTCCCCTACCCCTGCACACGGACGGAAATGCAACACCAGCACCTGGAGCTTAGCAATACTTTGGCCCAAAACCCGCAAAACCGCTGCTTTCAGCATCGGACTGCTGCAACCGCTCTGCCAGCATTATGCAGTCAACAAGCCAGCCAAACTTATGATTTAGAATTACTTCGATTTGTACCCCCAAAGCCAGCAGACCATTATTATTTGCAACAATAAAACCATTGTAACGTATAAAAACGATTACTGTTTTATTTTAAAGTAGCTTCGTAGAAAATAAAGATTGAGGTGTGAAAGAGAAGGACGAAGGGACTTGGAATTGGAAAGGCGAGGATGCAGATAACATTAACTAGGTAATATCCGGGGGAATTATCCCCCCTCTGGCCATGTCTGGCCATAACTGGCGCCCGAACAGAGTCCACTTTCTCTCGAAAGTGGGACCCAAGGACCCCCCAAAAAAAAGGAAAAAAAAAGAAACAAATAAAGTGAAAAATATGTGAATAAATAAAAACTAAAATATCCAAAAAATATGAAAGAGTTGTGCGTGTTCGTGTAAAAAATATAATTGGAATTGAATTACATTTACCCGCTACGGTGAGAATGCTGCCGTTTAGAGCTGGCATTCCCCACGGGCGCAAAAAAATTTGTGAATAAACTTAGTACCTGCCGCGGCGATCTGTCCACGTACCCTGTGACGCGGCATATTCGCGGGCAAAAAATACTAAGTAATATGAAACAAAAGAAGCGATAGTCCACTGCGGCGATAAGTCCACACCATTGGGTAGCTTATTCGCGAGTCTAAAAATTGCAATTTTAATTAAATAAACACAGATAATTAATTTGCGTGCGGCAAAAATTATAAACCAATTTTGAAATAAAAAAAGAAGAAGAAAATTTTTTCCAATTATAAAAAATGTGTCGTGTAAGTGGCAATCTGCTGGAAAGGCTAACGGATGTGGAATGCATTCAGAAAAAGCTGCCCAGTGGATTTTGTGGCAACCGTACCTTAGTAGGCACAATGCCAAAACGGATAAATACGAACCACCGCGCCGATAAACACAATTACACAGAAATAAGAAAATTAAGTACCAAAAAACCCGAATTTTATTAAAAATCGCACAACGCTCAAACGAAAATTACAATTTTGCTTTTTTTTCGAACAAAAAGAAAATCACATACTAATTATAATCTAATTTCAGAATAATAATCCTGTAAGAAAGAAAACAGAAGACCTCGAAAAATTTAAACACTTAAAAATTACAACCACAAAAACAAGAAAAAGGAGGAAAATACTAAGGGTAAGTGAAACGATTCTTTATACGCACGTCTGTTAATACTAATAAAAAAAAATATAAATAATGTAAAAATTTATTAACAAAAACGCGGAAAACTGTTGCTAAATTCCCTACTATTTTCTGGATTGTTTTGAACTATGTCATATTTCGAAAGTGGTTCATATTTAAACTATGAATAAACTATGAATATTTACTATTTGGTCAGTACTGGTTGTATTCAGTAATCGGACAAATGCATTTTTGGTTGTTGCGACTATGTTTAGTATACTTTCTTCATCTGATGATAGCTGAATCTCTCGGACCACTTGAGATTTTGCTGGTAGAACTATGTAATTATTACCAGAACTGTATGTTATAGGAACTTAAATTGGAAAATTCAAATTATTTCGTCTAGGATAAACCAATCTTCATTATGATTGAAGTCTAGTTGATAATTGAATTTCTTTATGAAATCAATGCCTATTATTCCATCACATGGTATTGCGTGTGGAATTATATATTTATCTGTCTGTGTCTCGAGGGATGTTAAGCCTTTTGATTGAATTAGCTCTTGGCCTATGCCTTGAATGTTTATTTTTTTGTCTTTTTGAATATCACGAAGGATATCAGAAATTTCTTTTAAAATTGATATGTCTGCACCAGTGTCAATTAAGAATACAAGTTTTCTGTTTGTTTCTGTATTCGTAAAGATTACAAATATATTAAGACTAAGATTGATGGTGTGAACATTGTGGTTTACTGTTGAGTATCTGAAGGGTGAGAGTTTACCGAATTATTCTGGCAATTCTCACAGAATTGTTTGTATTATTGTTATTTTGGCCTCGATTCGAGTTGCCACGGCCTCTTTGTTTCCTCTATATCGGCCTCGTCCATTACTGTAATAGTTGGAACTGCTGTAGCTGTTGTAATTATTATTACGACTACTATAGTTTCCTCTGAAGTTTCCACGTCCGCGGTTCCACCACGCTGTGAATAATTTTTGAAATAAAGGACAGTATTAGGTTGTCCAGTTGCTTCCGTGCAACTGTTGACGAACTTGGATATGGCATCATTCATTGTGTTGAAGGTGCCAGCATGCATGATAAGTTTTACCTTATCAATTGTGCAGTTCTTAGTCATTGCCTTGACGGCATGCCGAGTGGAATAATTCCTTCCCAATTCTAGTGATAGTCCGTCTGATATGTATGCTCCTTCTAAGGCTTTCGCCATCTGCTCAACCTCTTGTGTGTATTGGTTTGCAGTTTTTTTGCGTTGCTGTAGGTTCATCAGTTTTGCTGACAATACTCCGACAGTTTCGGCCTTGACGTTTTTTTTTAGTCTAGAGATCACCTCGGAAATCGTTGTTTCGTTTCCTATTAGATTTCTAGCGGCACCCTTAAGTTTTGTTTTTGTTATGGAGACTGCGAGTTGTTTGTGCTCGACCTTTATTGCCTCTACTTTTTCTAACGCATCCACAAAACTTGTTAGATTTTCCGCTTTACCATCAAAAACTGGTTTCAGCTTGGATGCTGTATTTATGAAATCAATATTGGATTGTGCCATTGTTGCTTGTCTCGCTAGGATTATCAGAATCTGTGTAACTATCTCTATCTGTGTATACCGCTGGAATAGTAAGATTATTTAAATCTTCCTCTTCTATTTTGGGGTATACCTCTTATATTTTAATTCGTTTGTTTCAGCTGATTCTATGTCAGGTGCAGTGTCTTCTGCTATGGGAGTGTTTAGAACATTCGGTATTACTATTTCTAAACTGAATTTTTGTTTAACCGATATTAAATTAGATCGTAGTCGTATCAGATGTTTAGATACCTGAGACAATTGATCTTGATTCAATCTCTCCTGTGACTATGTATTAGTATTCGCGCTTCGTTAAAGTTCTCTACTAATATCTCAACATGTTTTCTAACTGTCTTCTTCTGGATTGGTTTATTCTGGGTTAGTGACTTATACGATTTGTCAAAATTTGCTTTGATATTATTTATTTCTTTATACAATTCATTCCAATCCATTATATCATTGGCATTGCGCTTAGTTTAGCCATTTTTTTAAAATTATATCTGTATAAAATTATTTTTATTTTTATTTCTATTTATTACATATATATTGTATGTTTAAGCAATGTTGCTTAGATTTTATCCAGGTCATTAGCCCGGCTCATATATCTTTTCTTTAAACATCTTTGTGCAGCTTATATATTTTATAAAGAAATTTGCGCACATTATGACAACAATGATTATTAAAAGTACATGTACTCAATATAAATCAATATTATTGGATTCTACTTTGTTTATGACATTGGCAGTGGAATCCACTGTATTTATATCCAAAGTCACTTTTGGAGGTGGTACTATACCTTTATGTTATACGAGGTGTGTTCAAAAAGTAAGGTGACTTTTCAAATTTCAAATTTTTCAAATTTTTCGATTATCTTCAGTTTTGGGAACAAGAAAAAGTCACATGGGGCCAAATCCGGTGAATATGGTGGCTGAGGCATTATTGTGGTGTTGTTTTTGGCCAAAAAATCCAAATCCTTTGATCCATATTTTTCGATAGCAAAAAATCGCCGAGCTCGCAAAATAACTTGTAACTTTACGCCTCTCACAACCAAACAAAAGAGGATGTTCCATTGAAACTTGGTACAGATGTTAGGGAAGAGTGTACCAATATAACAAAACAAAAAAATCGATAATCGAAAAATTTGAAATTCGCGAAATTTGAAGAGTCACCTTACTTTTTGAACACACCTCGTATATCTTTTCTTTAAACATCTTTGTGCAGCTTATATATTTTATAAAAGAAATTTGCGCACATTATGACAACAATGATTATTAAAAGTACATGTACTCAATATAAATCAATATTATTGGATTCTACTTTGTTTATGACATTGGCAGTGGAATCCACTGTATTTATATCCAAAGTCACTTTTGGAGGTGGTACTATACCTTTATGTTATAATTTGGAATATAATTATTGTTGTTTTCTATTGAGGATTTGCTTATTGCATTATCTTTTATCTATCTTTACAGGTTTCTACCTACTGTTTTGCATAGCCTTACGGGCTGCACGACTAATTGGGCAGAGATGGTTCCGCTCAATTTTACAATTTATATTATGTTATATAAAAAAAAAATATGCATCGCAGTGCAATCAAAAAAAAATATGCAACGCAGTGCATGGGTTAATCCTGCGTCCTCTGCTGCGATGTTTCTTCTGATGCTCTTTCCGGTCCGCGTCAGCTGGTCGTCGCCGGCTTTGTTATGCTGACGCTCCCTTGAAGGCGCAGCTGGCGGTCGTGCCTCCCAAGCTTTGTATCTGCTGCTGTTGTCCTAGGCCAATGGGCTCTGGCGGTGCCGGTGCTGGCTTCGCACAGGCAGCTTCTCCCACAGAGGTGTAAGGGGCGGATGGCCTCTCACACTAGTTGTTTTTGCCTGTGCATGTGTATTTACAGTGCACACTGCTTAGTGGCCCTTGTCACGGTCGCCATGAAATGTTTAAATGTCAGGATCGCCATGAAATATAAAACAAACTTGTTGTACTTGGTTTATTCTTTATTTCAGGGAGCAGGAGAGGTGCCGCTCCAATTGCCGCTTGAATTGATTGTGTCTTTACAATATACTTTTAAGTCTAATTAAGGCAAAGTCTCGTTGCTGCGCTGCTCGCAGGCGGCGACAGAGAGACGGCTATATATGTACCTTTGTATATAAACATACGCCCTCTTATGTGAGGAGCGCGAGGGGTATGCACATGCGGTCCGTTCATGCAATTATGCCGACGCTAGCACTTTCTGCGAGTGGCCTAAGCCATAGCAATCGGTTCATATTTCGGCCACTTGGGGTATATGACCGGGACCATGAATTATGTAAACACTGCAACAAAGTGTTACAATGCCTACCCTTTAAGAACTCGGTACAGTGGGTATTCAATATTAGTGCATACTACAGAGGTGACCGATGGATGCCCCTGTGAGGCGACCTGTGGATGCGCCCGTGAGGAGGGTGATGGATGCGCCTGTGCGGCGGCTGGTGGATGCGTCTGTGAAGTGACCGATGGGTGCGCCTGTGAGGCGGATTGTGGATGCGCCTGTGATGCGGCTTGTAGATGCGTCTGTGAGGTGACCGGTGGGTGCGCCTGTGAGCCGGGTGATGGGTGCGCCTGTGCGGCGGCTTGTGGATGCGCCCGGGAGGCGGCTTGTGGATGCGTCTGTGAGGCGGCTGGTGGATGCGCCTGTGGGGCGGGTGATGGATGCGTCTGTGCGGCGGGTGATGGATGCGTCTGTGCGGCGGCTGGTGGATGCGTCTGTGAGGTGAAAGATGGGCTTGTGGATGCGCCTCTGAGGCGGCTTGTGGATGGTGAGGTGACCGATGGATGCGCCTGTGAGGCGGGTGATGGATGCGACTGTGAGGTGACCGATGGGTGCGCCTGTGAGGCGGCTTGTGGATGCGCCTGTGCGGTGGCTTGTAGATGCGCCCTTAGGGCGGATGGTGGATGCGCCTGTGAGACGGCTTGTGGATGCGCCTGTGAGGCGGCTTGTGGATGCGTCTGTGAGGTGACCGATGGATGCGCCTGTAAGGCGGGTGATGGATGCGCCTGTGCTGCGGCTGGTGGATGCGTCTGTGAGGTGACCGATGGATGCGCCTGTGAGGCGGGTGATTGATGCGCCTGTGCGGCGGCTGGAGGATGAGTCTGTGAGGTGGCCGATGGATGCGCCTGTGCGGCGGCCTGTGTGGCTGGAGGGTCAGGCCCCCACATTGCAGTGTGGCTCCGCCGTAGCACAGGAAGTCCATGCCGAGCAGAAGGTCGTCCAGCACGTCCGCCATGATGAGAGCGGAGACGCTGACCGGAGCTTCGCCCAGCTGGATCGTGGCGTAATGGCCCGCCAGGCCGCAGTTGCGGCAGGCTGTGCTGGGGTCGATTGACCTGGTGGGAGTGGCCCTTTGGTTAGGGTTTCCCCCGGCGTCCCGGTTGGCGGCTTCGTTGGTCGCGCTCCTAGGGTGTGGCACTCTCTGGGTCGCTCTGGGTCGTGCGACTCTGCTATGGGATGGATACTCGGCGTCCACGGACTTTTCGGCCTCCCCAGCTGCGGGCAACTTCGAAGTTGACCACCATGTGTGTGAGTTCAGTCAGCGTTTTGAAATCCTGGTGTCGGATGAACATCTGGTATTCAGGCAGCATGTTCTTATAGACCCGTTCCAATTCCTGCTCCGGTGAGAATCCAGCGCTGCGCATCTGAAGGGTCTACCAGGTACTCCATGAACGGTACTCATTCACTTTCTGAAAGTGTGAACGGATCTCGTCGTCGAGACGTTGGTAGTACCGGGGCGGTAAGAAGAAGTCCAAGAATTCCCGACGAACTTTGGTACAGGTCCGTCCTTGCAGATCACTGGTTCGGAACCAATTCTCCGCCCGGCCAGTCAGGAGGACGATGATAGCGTGCGACAGATACTCACGGTCAATCCGGTGGGTATCCGCCCGTTATTCGATGTGCTCTATGAAACTGAGGGGGTCCGAGGTGCCGTCGAGTGACAGTCCCCATTTGGACACTTTGTCAATCAACATCGAACAGATGCCGGCATCGTACTGGTGCGCACCGGTGCGTACTGTGCCCTCTGATTTTCCTCGCGTCCCTGGGGACGGGGAAGTGCTGCGGTATGGTCAGCGTGTGGCTACTGCTTAGTCCCTTTTCGTGGGAGGGCGGTAGCGGCGAAGGTGGCTTGGTGTCTCCGGATGGGGCATTTCCATACTTGCGTTCCATCTCCCCGAGCCGGATCAGGGTATCTTCGGAGTGTTCCGTTTGCCTGGCGAACGCGTACAGTCGGGCCCGCTGCTCGTCGACCGTACCGTTTTGTTCGAGGCCGAGCTCGAGAAGAATAGCCTCGAGTTCGTGCTTCTTCCTGTAAGAAATCCAGGAGACTCCCATATAGTTGTTGATGTGTGTCCTGGCTGGTGTGCACGAGCGGCGATGCGTTGGTTTCCTTGAAGGATGAGTATCCTTGATAGTCCTGGCTGGAGTGCAGGGGCGGCGATGCGTTGGTTCCCTGAAGGATGTGTATCCTTGATTGTCCTGGCTAGGGTGTAGGAGCGGCGATGCGTTGGTTTTCCTTGAAGGATGTGTATCCTTGATAGTCCTGGCTATGGTGCAGGAGCGGAGATGCGTTGGTTTCCTTGAAGGATGTGTATCCCTGCTAATCCTGGCTGGAGTGCAGGGGGGGCGATGCGTTGGTTCCCTGAAGGATGTGTATCCTTGATAGTCCTGGCTAGGGTGTAGGAGCGGCGATGCGTTGGTTTTCCTTGAAGGATGTGTATCCTTGATAGTCCTGGCTATGGTGCAGGAGCGACGATGCGTTGGTTTCCTTGAAGGATGTGTATCCCTGCTAGTCCTGGCTAGGATGCAGGAGCGGCGATGCGTTT